GATGAATTTAATACCTGAGATAAGTGTACGGGTTTTTATACGCGCAGTCTGGAAACCTTCCGATCGCACCTCGTAATTATTATTAAAAAATACCTTAGGTTTGTGGTGCGAATGTTGAGGGGAATTTTATGAGGGAATTTTATTTTCTATGTCCTGTAACTGTCACCATGTTTCGAGGAATTAACATCCACTGTTTGCTATAATCGTGCGTTAACTGTACACCAGTTGTTACTAAGGTAACAGCACGTATTTGACCTTGTTAGCTAACGATAACAAAAATAACCGAATGTAAATACAAGGCACAGTTGAAGGACGCAGAAATGTATGTGTGACTTTCATTGTTATTCCGGTGAAATAACGGATTACAACCCTGGTTTCTGCACGTTTCTGTTTGAAGACAAACAGTGGTGACATCTGAGAGGCGAGAGAGCAAACAATTGTAACAGCACCTTCAATTAACGCGGAGGAAACAAGTTAGCAAATGCTCTGTTACCAAGTTCCGTAACACTAGATTCATGTCAAAGTCTTACCGTTGTGCAGGCACGATAATTCGAAGAAGTTCTTTCGGAACGCATCGAAATCGGCCACTGGGTCATTACGAAACCTACAGACACCATGTCTTATAGAAGTTCCGAAGGAGACAGCAAGTTACTCCGATAGCAGACGAATTTCCGATTACAGAACTCTCCTTTATCGACAAGAACACTAAAAGATTATGTCCCACAGTAAAAATTAGAACATTCAGTTACACCAAGGAAGTTTAAATGAAGTTGTGGCAAGACAAATGAACTTCGAAACAGGCATCCGTCACTTAAGTTCTTACGATAAAACAATCAATAAAGTTATGTCTATATGCCTACGGAATTTTGATTTAAACGTAATTTTAAAAAACAGGAACCATCGACTTAAAGGCAACACAGTGTCACAGCTGCGAAAAGTGTTCCCACTGTTGAAGCTGTGAAAGTTACAGCCATTAGCTTATCTGTATTCTCAGTATAAGTCACGGTGGTCTAGCGGTTAGAACGCTGGCCTTGTAATCCTGGGGTCTCGGGTTCGATTCCCGGCGGCGCCCGAATTTATAACTTGTGTTGGGCAAGGCCGTGGTCTAGGTAACACGGAGGTTTCCTCCGTGGCATCCCAACAATTACTCCATTCACACACAGAAGAAGGCAATGGCAAACCACTTCTGGATCATCTGCCAAGAACGTATATGAACAGGTCCCAGACCGAGAAAATGATCTCAGTATAGAGGTTGTGAACAGTCTAGCCGAACAATCGATCACAAACAGCGATACTATCGAAATAATCCACGAAAGAATTAGCGTTCCCGTGCGCGCTATTTGTGTGAGAAGTCTTTTGCGAGTTAGGATATCGATACTTTCCGACCACAGACGGCCAGAACGAAGTCAAGACACGGTGAGCTGGAGGCATAATCGCTTTCATTTCCTCGGTAAGACTCTGCACTTGGCGAATTGTTCCAGCAGAGACTCGTATATTGCTTCAAGTAGCGACATGAATTATTCATCGTAAACGCTGCATCCTGCCAGCAAGAACTGGCAATGTAATTTGAATTTTGAGAACAACAAGAGTCAAAGTGTTTCCAAGCCGCTCGCCTGACTTGTGCCCACACGGAATGACTGCAACTACGCCCATTGGACCAGAACAGGTGCCACCGGGTGTGCCAAAATTTATCTTAACATTTTTACTCTTTTACGTCCCTGTGACCTCTCACTTAGAGAGATGGATAAACTGGGGACACACACAAAAATAATCCATCATTGACTGATAACTCGAAGGCGATTGAACAAGTCATCTGATATCCCCGGGTTTTTGTTTGTTTGTGTTCATGCTTCGTATCTTGGAGTACAGCGGATCGAATTTCGGTTGGGAAACCAACTAACCTAATAATTCCGTAGTTTAATCAATGACTCTGATAAAATTCCAGGATGGTATACTAATTTAATGAACCAGCGCCTTCATTTCACGATCTCAGATCGTAAAACAAACGAAGTATCACGATAAACTCAAAACATTCTTGCCCGAAATTAGAGAACAGAACACACGCCTAAATGGAAACATTACGTGGAATTTAGGGAGTCACATCCAATGGAGTATATACAGACAGGGGGATTTGAATACAGTCGTCGTTATAACCAAGACAAACGCGGAACAAGATATTTGGTGGATACACTCTTACAAAATACGAGGCGAATAACTCCGTTTACCTGACAAGGTCACCCTTTTCAACCACTTCAGAGTAACTACAAAATAATAAATTAAAAGTAACACTAAAACTATCAGGCATGAAGATGTAAGTTTACGGACTAAAGCCCTAAATGTAAAATTTAATTAATCCGATGTATTTTTTACAATAAAATATTAACTGTTGCTATTTCACGATTCACTAACTATAATTCTGCTCTGAACATTGGCATTTGCTTGAGTGGTTCTATGTTCTGTGACGGTAGAGGCTTTAAACAGAAAAGAAAATACCAAGTACAGCGATCAGACAAGATCTCACCCGGATCTGAACCAAAGACACTTTAATAAATGTCAAGTGAGAGGTAAAGGAATGGAAACGAAAACCGGACAGTCGAGGTGAGGAACAACCTTCTGTATTTTATCTTAGGGCTGGCAGACAGAATTGGTACGGATAAACAAGACTCAGTGGAATCGAAGACTTTCCGGCAAAAAAACTGTTCAGCCTGTCTCAAAAGCTTTCAAATCCATCAATCTTCTGAAACCACATCGCTTAAATTATATTTAAAGAATTCAGTTCGTACCGCGAAGAAAACACTACACTTCACCATTACAAGGATTAAATGGTTAACGCTGTTTAAGGAAATAATCGCTGTTTACAGTGAGAATCATAGTTCGTCTAAATTACATTTAAGAATTCAGTCCGTACCGCGAAGAAAACACTACACTTCACCATTACAGAGATCGAATGGTTAACGCTGTTTAAGGAAATAATCGCTGTTTGCACTGAGAATTATACGAAACACAAATACAAAATGAAGAGATACTTATTGTTAAATTAGGTGGTACATATAATTACCATTGACTTAAAAATTTTAGTGTTACCACATGACTCAGCATACCGTGCCGAGCAATGTGATACAAAATTATAATCCGTGAACAGTTACAACAAGAATTTTAGATTGCCTTGATGACGTTTAAGAATCGACGTCGAAAACTTATATTGCACGACTTAAGACAACATATGGAATGTGGGCATAATTACGTTAATTAATCTGACCGATCACACGGCCCATCGAACACGGTAATTACATATAAGTAGGGAATTCGACTAGCTGAGCTACTATTAGCTTCTCAACAAAAATTCTGCTCCATGGAACAAAGTTACTGTACATTAATAAAATGACACAAAGGACATTTTATTCACCTGTAGAACACACACAGACGCCAACACCTGAAATCCAACGCCATGGGTAAGGAAGCAGGCAGGTGACGATACAACATTGCCACGCCCTTTGTGGCGCCAAATAGCACCCCACTGGCTACATACCTCGCCATTTTAATACCAGCCTCATTGTGGGCCGTCCAGACACGATGTAACGCGAAACTTCTGCGTCAGGAAACAAGCTGTCATGGCACGTTTTCGGTTCTATGAAATGGCTAATCAATAGACGTCGAATCCAGTCGGACGTCACAAATACGGAATTTGAAGTAAATGGCAGGCCATCCATACCAAATTTCGTGAAAATCCGTTCAGCCGTTCTCCAGTTATTATTCATTTTTAATTACTTATTTCTCTCCCTCTATTCTTTATTCATTTATTCTTCATTTTCTCACTTTCTTATTTCGCCTCCTTGCCCGCTTTTACCCCCCCCCCCAGTTCCATCTTTTCCTCTTGTTCTGCCTCTATTATCTGCAGGTACACGCTGACCGCGATGTACCCTGGATATGAAACAATCGAGATGCTAATTACGCAATTCAAAATAATTAAATATAATAAATCCCTGTGGGTTCGTCACAGTTCCGCCAGAATCCATCGGCCGTGGCTACCATCAGGTACACTAACGTGGCTGATTTCGACAATCTAATGCCTAGTTCAAATCTCCCAAGATCGATTTCTTCCTCGATGCATCATCACTG